GATACGAGGGAAGTGTATACGTACTGAGGAAAGATGGTTCACTCTGGAGGAATTTGTAAAGCAGGAACCAACTATCACTGATGGACACTGGAAGAAAGATATACTGTGCCATGGAAAAACGCTCAACTTTTTACTCAAGGTAGCAAATGGGAGAGAGCAAACAAAAAGCATGATTATTTATTTATTTAATGATTGATTGTCATTTTTAGAAAGACATCCTGCGCATCCATTCGCTTCAGTGTGAATGTGTAAAATGCAGTACTCAAGAGGAAGACGTGGTGAGAAACATCTCTACCTGACATTTAATCATAATCAGTCATCATTAAAATAATTTATGATATTAACTTAAATTCTTAACAGTCTTTTAAATGTGTACATTAATCTGTACATGATCACTTTCATAGACTAAAGATGTGAAAATCACAAACATTTTTTATATAAAATGTTTATTTTATTATATATTTTAAAATTGTCTTTACTTTTTACATTTTACATGTTCTGCTTAAAGAAAACAAAGCCTATTTTAGTACAATTATTATTTTTTGCATTGTGACATTAACCAAATTTTTGCCAAAATCATTACCAAATGCACAAAAATCCTTTTAATTATTTTAATATAAAAAAAAAAAACATCATTTATAATCATAATTAAATCAAGTGAAATGATATATCCTCGCTCCCTTTAGCGTCACTTCAAAGCGTCATCAATTAATGATGACTCTACACTGCTGGATTTAGCTTGCACGTTGGGATTCTTGAACATTAGAAATATATTTTTTTATATTACCAGTTATTAATAACAATGAATTATTCCCAGTTATTAACTGCTTTTTATTTGTTGTATAGTATTACATAGTGTTGCCAACTGTCCTGTATAAGCGGGGACATCCCGTATATTGGCCTAATTGATTTGTCCTGTACGTGACCTCCCTTGTCCCTTTTATTGACTGCTACGCTGATCACGACACTTGAGAATGATCACCGACACCTGTCATCATCCATTCACAGCCCCCTCACACGCATGATCAGTATGCGTTAAGTAAATCACAAATTGTGAACATAACTGTTCGAGGAAGGCTTAAGACAAAGCGGAATCCTCTGCCAGCTGGTTGCTCCCGCCTCACAGCGAGCGGGACTTGCACTAACGCCAATTACCGTCACAGTCGGTGTTTTTTGTTTTCAGCAAATCCGTTTTGGCGAATGTAAACAACGTGATTATTTTATGACTCTAACATCCAGCCGCGCAAGAAAACATGTAGGCTAATCTACCCGAGGGAAGTCGTCTTTCACTATTGTAATGTTAAATAGAGAAAAACATTTTACATTCAAGTAACTTCTAGCGTTTTCTTAACCTTGGACCTTATTCTTGAAACAAAATGACAAATAAAAAAGTGTCAAGCACCAAAAGCAGCCCATATTAAATCTAATATTTTCGCTTTAATTGTTCTCTAATAACCAATATCAGAGGCATTAAAAAATTAAAAGCAATAAGCCATTAAAATCAAGAGACGTAAATAAACGTAATTAAAACTGTGCTTTAAATGTACACATCGAAATTAAAGGCACTGTAACAATAATTTCATGCTTAATACTCACATTTATGTGTGTTTGTATTTTCTGCCATGGTTAGCACTTGGTGCAGATGTGAAGGGGGAGGAGAATTTATGCGTGCATCACGTTAATTGATAACAATGGATACACCTGTGTATCCTCGCTCATGACTCCTCAGGAAGCCTCCTCACTCCTCGATCCTCGCCTCCTTCCGGTGCAATTAGAGAATTGAGATGTCCTACAAGATGGCTGAGCTCAATCGGTTTTTGGGTCATAGGATGGAGGATGGAGGAGCGAGGAAACGAGGAGGGATATTAAGAATAGTGGTCGACCGATATTGGTTTTTTGACAGCCGATGCCAATATCTACCGTCACACAGAGAACACGCGATCGTGCAGAATACAAATGCACACTTCATAAGATCTCACAGCTGGATTCGACTAAGTATGCAAGGT